TTTACACAATTGATGTGTGTATGGATTGTAATAAGAGTTGTATGAGCCCCTAATAAAATGATTTTGGTTTTTTTTTTTTTAATTATTTTTTTTAAAAAGGAAAAAAAAATTGTCCATAATAAAAATACTTGTAACCTCATTTCAGCTCGGATTTCTAGAAAGCTTAGAAGTCATCACTCTTGATGGGGGGAAACAAAACAAAACAAAAACAACTAACTGAAAATTGATGACTTTTCTGGAGCCCAGCCAGAAACTGAGGTTACGTGGGAAAACCCCATCCTGAAATATGGAGAGACAGGTACCTCCACAGAGACTCCACTGAGATCTGCTTACCTGGAACAGAAGCTGCTGGAGCCGTAAACCGGTAGAAACACTTAAGTGACAACATTGATAAATTACAGGAGAGTGAGTGAGAGCCAACATGAGCGTGAGAAACGATGAGGGCCATGTCCCAGAGAGGGCCCAATTCTGCATGTTTTCACCTCTAGGAGCCCAGAGAGGACCTAAGAAAGACACTCCCATGGTTCTGGCTCAGAGCCTTCTCCAGACAAAGGCCTACTGTGCAGGGGGAAAGACTGGCAAAACTTGAGCTCAGCTGAAGGGAGGAAGGGCTTTCCTCCCATTCCACTTCCTTCAGAATAAGCTCCTGGCAACTAACAATAATCACTGGCCTTCCTATGTGGCCTAAAGGAGAAAAAAATGCTAACAGGATTCGGGACTTCAAAGAAATCCATTGGGAATGCCATACACCCACTCTTTCCTTATTGGCATGTGTGGCACTTACATAATCTCCTATCAACTTGAGCACAGGAGTGGAGTCCAGCCTGTCAATTGGGCACAGCTTGATGACCTCATTTGGAGGTGCGATGGAAATAGCTCACTGGAGGTCAGGCCCTCTCTCTCTGCCTTCAGAGAGCTGGAAGAGACATGTGGAGACCTGTGCTGGCGTTGAGATGCTTCTACTGCCACTGGAGCCACCAGACCTACTACCTACTGGCCTGTGATCTTCCTGCATTCGGCATTATTGCATGTGGTGCGTGAGTCTGAAGAGGAATTTATGGACTGGTATCAGACATATGGGCTAATATCATACTTATGGACTTGATCTGGACTGGGCTGGGATGTTTTCTCAATGTTCAATTGCTCTTGTATATAAAGCTCTTTCTTATACACATATGAGTGTCTATGAATTTGTTCCTCTAGTCAACCCAGGCTAACACACATGCTTATGTTCTAAAGACCAAGTTACTAGGTGAAAATCAACATGATGCAACAAATGAAGGATGATCACATCACATCAGCACTTGAGAATGACAACATCATCACATGTCTTGGAAGAAATAAAGCCAGAATGCTCTTTAGAGGCAAGGATGGTGAGACTTTGTCTCACGTACTTTGGACATGTTATCAGGAGAGACCAGTCCCTCCTGGAGAAGGACATCATGCCTTGTAAAGTAGAGGAGTAGCGGAAAAGAGGCAGGCCCTGGCCAAGATGGATTGATTGACACAGTGGCTGCAACAATGGGCTGAAGCGTTAACAACGATTGTGAGGACGGTGCAGGACCCGCCGTGTTTCATTCTGTTGTGCAGAGGGTTGCTATGACTCAAAACTGACAGGACAGCACCTAGCACCAACACTAGCCACCCCACTGCATACCTGTCAACCTACATTATGAAAGAACCTCCAAAGCACAGAAAATCCTGGCTCAGCCAAATTGACACAAAATCTTCACTCCCTTGCCTCACACCTCAGTGTTTATTACAGCCAGATGATGCGCAAAATAGGAAGATGGTAACCATCCTTTTCTTGGGGTTGTGCTACTAGCCAACGAACATATAGTGAGGGTAGTACTGCTAACAACTCCGCAAAAAAAAAAAAAAAGATAATAAGGTAGTCGATCTTCTACTACAGTTGTGAATGAGACATGTCAAAGACAGGTCGTTGACAGGTGAGGAGTAGGTGTGTGGGGGTCAAGGGCTGGGTAAGCTAGAGAAACAGTTATGAACGTCCCTGTGGCAAGGCACAGGCCCACGAAAACACTCAGATGCTATCGGAAGATTAAAGACCACGCTTCTTCCCCTGGACTCTACTACGTCACCAAGAGGGCTCCAGTATGATAGCAATCCCTGAGCCGTGCAGTTAACGCAGTGACTGTCAACCCAAAGGTGACTGGTTCAAGTCCACCCAGAGATGCCTCAGAAGACAGGCCTGCAATCTGTTCAAAACTACCACCACCACCACCACCACCTTACTCCCTGAAAGCTCGCTGGAGCTCAGTTCAGTGCTCACACACATGCGGTCGCTCTGAATCAAAATTGACTTGAGAGCAACATGAAAAACGGGGCTGTAGCTGAACGAGCTGCAAGGCACAGATTCTCTGAGCCCCAAATCAAGAGAGATGACAGAAAGCAAGGACACGAAAGGACTTGGAAGCCTCTCACCTACTGCTAGAGGAAGCATTAAACACAGCCCAGCTCCTCGCCTGGTTTACATAACTCCTTACACGAAAGGCTTCGTTGCCTCGGTTCCGATTAACCGAGAAAACATATTCTTCTTTCAGTAAAAATGACAAGGCCTGCCAACAGGCAGAGAAAGCACAGTCTGAGGAGACAACGCCGTCATCAGAACTACACTGCGCCATGACACAGCTGTTGGAATAACCAGACAGGGAATTTAAAATGACTATGATTAATATGTCAAGGGCTCTCATGGAAAACACAGACAAGGGAGAGCAGATGGGCACTATAGACAGGACGATGGGAACTCTAGAAAGAATCAAAAAGAAACACAGCGCCATCTGGGAGAGCCAGGACTGCCCTCTTTTTCTGGGCTCGTTCTCTGCCGCTGAAAGGGTGCTCATCACAGTCCTTTCTGCAGAAAACCTTTTGGTTTTCCTTCTCTGACAGGCTTCAGCCACACACAGGTTCCGGGTTCCCCAGGTGTGACATTAGTAGACGTAACAAGCGCTGTAACAGGAGGGCTTCCGTGGGGTCCTCAGTAGACTCCACATGTCCAAGGAAAACCTCCGTGAGCTTGAAGAGACTCAGTAGACAGGTCTCAAACCGAACAGCCAAGAGGGGAAAGGCATTAAAATAAAACAAATCAAGAACAAAAACCCAGAAACTGAGCAGAACAGACAAGAACGGTGGGGCAATTTCAAAGGGGGTGACATGTGCAATTAGAATATCAGGAAGAGGAGAAAGAGCCATTGGAGAAGATGCATCTGAGTAAAGAATGGCTGCAAATGCTCCTCATTGAGTGATGGACCCCAGACTGCAGATTTGGGAAGCTCAGAGGACATAAAGCAGGGTAAGTTCGGCAGGCAGAGAATGATACTGGGGCCATATCATACTTAAATTGTAGAAAATCAAAGACAAAGGGGAAATTCTGAAAGAAGAAAGAAGCCAAGAACAAAACAAACAAATTCACTGCGATGGAGTCAATTCTGACCCATAGCGACCCTGTAGGTCAGGGTCAAAGTGCTCTGTGGGTTTCTGAGACTGCCGTTCTTTATGGGAGCAGAAAGTCTTGTCCTTCTCCCAAGAAGCAGCCGATGATCTCAGACTGCAGCCCCAGCACAAAACCATTACGCCCCTGGGACTCCTGAAAGAAGCTTGGGAGGAAGGAGAGGACGGGGTGGGGGCCTACTTATAAAGGAACGAGCAGAAGAATGACAGAATGACAGCGACTTCTCTTCTGAAACAATGGAAGCAAGACGAGAATGTAATGACGCCTGTGAAATGCTGGGAAAATGCACCAGACCAGAATGCTGTCTCCAGGACAAATATCCTTCAAAACAGAATGTGATGGTGAATTATATGGTATGTCAATTATATATCAATAAGGGTTTTATTAAAAGATTTTTTATAAACTGAAATAAAGACGTTCTCAGACTAATCAGAGCGGAGAGAAATCCTCACCAATTGATTGGCCTGACATGAAGTGTTAAGAGAAATGGAGGCCTCTACCTCAATTTCATGTGTCGCCCTTGGACTAGAGACAGAAACGTCACAATGCGAGAAGAAGCAGATGGCTGCTATATCAAGGGTTGGGAACTGGTGGTCATCGGACTTTGGCTTGGATCCCTTGCTTTGAGGGATGAACGGTAGCCAGGACTACCCTATACTTGCTATTCTAATGCTCTCCTTGTTTCACTGAGATATAATTAATCTGATAGGTTTGGTACTGCCACTGTCAATGAATATTATTGAAAGTGTTGCCTTACTGCCAGCCTCCATTGTTTGTGTAAATAGTGCCCAGTTGCTTAAGAGTTTAATCTGTACAAGTCAATAATTCATGTACTGCGGTTCATAGCTAGTATATACTTGTCTAATCTTTTCTCAGCTGTGCTTTAAAATCTATGCCATTGGGTAAATTAATGACACTATCAATTGAAGTACCTTTTGCCCAAGGGAGATTATTGATAAATGTTCTCAAACAAAATTACAATGATAACTCTAAGGTGAATCAGAGACATTATAAACCATGGATAGATGAATGAATCTTGGACTTGCACTTACTTCTAGCCCCAATCTAAGAACAATTAGTTCTTATGACATAGTCCTGCTTGATACCCTCATGAAGAGATCACTGGAGATATGGGTGCTATAGCAAGGTGTGGTGAAGACACTAGGGGGTGCCTGGCTATCAGAATGAATAGCTTCTGATGTCTTAAAGGCTGTCTTCAAACAAGGAGCCATATCAGTGAGGCATCAACTAAGTCCACATAGAAGAAGCATACCAGCCGGTGTGATCCAAGGACTGTAAATAATAAAATCCAAATCTAAAGGAGAGAATGATATCAGAGCTTAAATTGTGACCACTCAGTTTGCAGAAGGCTATGGATGACAGTGGACACCCCAAAGCCACGTGCAGGGTCCACACATAGATTAAGCCTCTGGTGAACACTCTCTGACGAAGTCGAGGTATGTGAAAACCTTGTTATCAGACAGACGATTATGGAGATACTTAAAGTAGATATAGTCTGGCTAAAGTTTAACATCTTAGCATTTGATCTTCCTTTGGACCCACTGTAAAGTTGCTGTAGTTTTTACTATTTTGTTTTGTTCAAGTTGGTTCTGCCTCAGAGTCCCCTTACTTTTTATTATTATTTTAAATCATTTTATTGGGCGCTCTTACAGCTATCATAACATTCCATAGTTCAATCATATCAAGCAGGGTTGTACAATTGCTGCCACAATCCGTTTGAAAACATTGTCTTTCTCCTTGAACTCCTTGATATCAGCCCCCCTTTGCCCCTCCCTCCCTCACTATACCCTCCAGGAACCCTCATTCCTTTTTTTCCCTGTTAGTTTAGTCTTTGGGGTTTTTTTCTTTGCCATGTCTTACACAATCCAATATATCCATTCACATACAGTTCTGTTGTATGATCCCCTCAAGTGGGGTTATTTATACAGTCATCAGTGCTATCAGCTCCCCATTCCCTGCATCCCCAGCCCCTTCCCATACCCTCAGGGACCCATTACTCCTTTTACTGTTTCTGAAGGGTTATCTCTTTTGACTTTCATGTACCAAATGATCTTAAATATACACATGAACATACACAAAACTAACATGATTAATGAGGTAAAACAAATTAGACCGATAATAGTAAGGGGAGGAAATATTAAAGAGCTAGAGGACAGTTACGTGTTTTATCAGTGCTATGCCACACCCTGGACTTATCATCCTTTCTGTGTGGTGCTTCTGAGAGGGACTGTCCAATTAACTTATAGGTGGTTTAGGGGTCTCCACTTTGCCTATGCTCTTTCATGCAATTTGGTTGCTAGTTTTTGAACTTCTAATACCTCTTCTTGTCCACATCTCATGATCACACAGGCTGGTGTGTTTCTTCCATATGAACTCTGTTGCTTCCCTGCTAGATGGCTGCTTGTTTGACTACAAGCCATCAAGACCGAAGATGCTATATCTTTTAATAGCCAGGCACCATCAGCTTTCTTTACCACATTTGCTTATGCACCCATTTTGCCTTTGGTGATGTGTCAGGAAGGTGAGTATCATATACTTCTGCTTTCTTTTAGATAGAAGTCTTTCTGTATTTTATTTTGTTGGTATTGTTAGCTTTTTTGTTTCTTTGTTATTTTGTATGATTTTTGATGCATAAAATCCAGGATGGGTGATTCTATAGAGATAGTAACTGGATTAATGGTTTCTTGGAGCTATGGCAGGGGGGAGTGGGGAAGATTATAACAACACAGAGTACAAGAAAGAAGAAAATATTCTATAATTGATTATAGTATTGTACAGTCATTACCAATCTTGATATGATTGAACCATTGAATTGTATGATGTGTGGATCATGTCCCATTAAAGGTTAGAAAAAAAGCACACTCCCTATCCTTCCCTATAAATAGCATCATCTATATTAAAGACAAACCAAATGCATGCCATTGAGTCAATTCTGCCCTTCGTTCCTCTACAGGACGGGAGAACTGCCCTGCAGGTTCCGAAACAGGAACTCTTTACTGGAGTAGAAGACCTGTCTTGCTCCTCAGGGGGCTTCAACCTGCTGACCGAACTTGTAACCACCACACCACTAGGGCTCCTCCTGGAGTACAGGGTTTCTCAAGGAGTTAAACGATTTAAAGGACAGAGCATCTTTTAGATCCGCCCTCTGAGCGTCCATAGGAGAGTGAGGTTCCCTGCTCCTGCCTTCACCTTCCCAAGGACCGTTTAGTCGGCTGCAAAGCAGAGAGCGTAATAAGCCCCTCATGAGAACTACATGGTGCCACGAAGCTGTGACGACTGACACAATAGCGTTTATGTTTTCTTTTGTTGTGCTTGTTGAGACGGAAATTGAACAATCTCGTACGGAGTGGCAGGAACTCTGGTGGCACAGTCGGGAAGTGCTTAGCTGTTCCCTCAAAGACTGGCATTCAAACCTGGAATCTGCGCCCAGAA